GGCCTGGCCTGGCCCTGCCCTGCCCGCTGTGGGACGGGAAGGGACAGAGCCGAGCCCGGAGGAGCGCCGGCCCTCCTCTGGCCCAGTGCTGCTGAGCCCTCCTCCTCTCGGAACAGCCGCGGCCTTCTGTTTTCGCCAGGGGAACAGTGCTTTCCTTTTTCCTTTTTTTCTTTTTTTTTTTTTTCCCCTCCCCTTTTCAAGTGTTTTTGATCTTGATTTCATTCATCGCTAATAGTTCAGAGCTATTGCAGGTGAACGGAATGAGAACCAGTAGTGCACGGCAGAAGGTGAATGGCTTGAGAACTAGCAATGCTTGTTATAACCTGATTCCATCGCCTCCAGCTGCCCGTGTCTCTGGGGATGCTCTCAGAGGAGATGCAAGTTCCCTGGCTTTTGGCACAAACCCTGCTCTTGCCCTCGCAGGGAAAAGATGAAATGCATATATATTTTTTTTTTTTTCTTTTTTCCCCCATTTCTGTACATCCATTGACCAAAGGCATCTGCAGAACTGAGGTTAAAAATAAACTCCATAGCTTCTAGTGAATATTTTTGTCATCTTTAATGAAATGTTTTCTTTTTTTTGATTGCAGAATAAATAATAATAAAAAAAATAAAGTCAGTAGTCAGCTTTGTCGCACAGCGACAGAAAGTCAAACGGAGACTGTATCTAACCTTGTCACTAAATATTGCAGGGGAAACTGTTAAGATAAATGCTATAAAAGAAATTACTTTGTTGAGCTTCTTCATCTTTCAGTGTCAGATTCTGTTTATTCCCTTGTTCCGTGTTTAGAAAAAATATGAAACTCACAGAATTTCTTTTCTATATGCATATATATACAAACTAAAATACTACAGGTTAGGAGCAGCATGGGTGGAAATACAAACGTATTAAAGGTCATAATCCCGAGACTGTAAGGATTGTCTTGATTATTTGATTCAATTGCTGATTTTATTCCTACCAAAATTACTAGCTTGGATGCTGCTGTTATTGCAGAGTTTTTCTCAATTGTTTTGCATGGATATTAACTCATTGGTAACTGGAAAGTGTCACCAACCTTTTTTTTTTTTTTTTTTTTTTTTTCTTAGTATTTTAGTAGGTCTTCACAATTTTAATCAGTGTTTACATTAGCTGAAGTGGTCTTTTCAATTAGGCCCACTCAGTCAATCTCATGAATCGTTCAGCTGGCATTTCCAAAGTATCTGACTCTAGGTCATGTTAAATTGCTGGAAACTTTAAGTAAACTTATTTGCCTTAACAAAGCAGATACTCGAGAGCTCTGCATTTCCTTCTAATAGCTAATGATTCAAATAATGTTTCCATTTTGATGGTCTTGTTACAGACATTGCAGTCATTGAAGCTTTTGTGTAATTGCCTCATTTTGTTTATTCTGACAACTCAATTGCTTTTTTGTGTAGCTTTGCAGTTTTGGATCACTAAGTCGTCTAAATATGGTGTTTTGATGTCTGTAGTATAGATTCCTTAGTAATTATGTTTTAAAAGATGGCAATATCTGCATTTAAATTACTATTTAATTTGCTGTAGTATAATAAATATAACTGCTGTATTTTAAAAGTACGGCACATTCTCAGTAATATTCAGTAATACAGTAGGCTATAGATTCAAATCTGACTTTCAAAATAAGCATACATTAGGCCTTTAATTTTCTTTATAACTGCATGGGTGTTTTCAGAAGAGTATCCAGAGTGGAAGAAGCATACATAACTAACCTCACTACAGTTTTGCCTTCTGTTTTCTTTGGGGTCTGATTCAAGTAACGTGCTTTGTACTTTTTATTTGTAAAAGGTTGTTTGAGGTGATCTGATAGTTGAAAGAAAAATAATTCTTTAGTGTTTCTCAGGTGCAAAGATAAAGCACTTTCTTGTGATGTATTTCAAGTAATCCTGATAAATTCTGATGTGATAATGTTGGCTTTTAGTTTTGGTTTTCAGTGATAGGAATTGCATTGTATTTTTCTGTTGGAAAAGAGCTTCACTTTGTTGTTTCTATTTAGAAACAACTGGATGGCCACTATGTTTATAAAAATGGGAGAAAGTTTTTGTTTTCACAAGTATGTTCTCGATAGCTAAATGGAATGTTAGGACTAACCATTTTTGTGCTTCAGGCTGAAAGTAGCTTCAGTGAAGAGGAGGAAGAAAAACTTCAAATAGCTTTTTCGTTGGAAAAGCAGGATCTTCATCTAGTGCTTGAAACTATATCATTCATTTTGGAACAGGTACCTTGTTTCTATCCTTATGAATTGATAAACACTTTTTTTTTTTTTTCCATCTGGATGTAGATTACTGAAAACGTATCTGTAATATATTATGTATGTTTTGGAGGCATGATTTTACTGCTTTTGTTTGCATGCCTTCCTGGTTTGGACTGGACTCACTGCGTTTGTGGAGTGAGTTCCCTGCTAATGTAGATATAGGTGGTGGAAGCGAGCTCTGCATGACTCTCAGAAAAGTGTTAATAATTATGAGATACAGTCTTTCCTCTTAGTCATTGTAGGCAAGCCAGCCATATATTTTTTTAGTTCCTGTAAGGCAAATATTATATGGCATTACTGAGCACTGCTTAAGGTACCTGAAGTGTCAGTTATGGAAAATTTTCAAGCACAGAAGCAGTCTGTGCTTAAGTGAACAGCTGCACCTGATGTAGCTTTGTATCTGAAAGAGTAGGTGACTGTGTGGTGTAGAGCTAAATATCTTGTAAACAGATAAGGTTTTCTGGTTCTACAGTCTACCACTACTAAGGCTGGGAAACCAATATATACCGGGTAAATATGGTAACTTCCTTAGAAATTGTCACAGCCATGATGTTATCCATCCATTTCATGCAAGTATAGTAAATGTAGTCTGGGCAGAGGGCATGCATCTGATGGTCTGTTGTGGGATTTGAATCTTGTCTTTTCTTATACGTCAGTTTATGATTAGTTCACTTAGTTAACACATTCTACAGCATTAGAAGGAAAACAGACTAACAGTCCAGTCCTCCCCATCCACTGAAAAATCGAAATGAAACCTGAGGTCACATCCAGACTGGAATTTGAATTTTCATCTCAACCAACAAGTTCAACTTGTTTTATTGCCTGGTCCTAGTTTCATCAGACTGCTTAATTTATATGATAATTATTGAAGATGAACAGAAAAAGCAGTTCAGTCTCCTCTAGGACTTACTTCTTTTGCATTAAAAAAAAAAAAAGAGAGAAGGGGAAGGATATTAATATCTGCATAAAGAAGAGTCCCAGATGCAATACGTGTTGTGTGAGGACCCTTTTGTGTTCCCGTTGATAGCTATGCTTCTTAGAGTAGCTGCTTGTTCTGTCACAGCATAACTTTTTTAACAGCCCTGTGGTCTGTGGACACGTTATAGGTAATAAGACTGCTGCATGGTCTTTGCCGCATGTGGTGTTTCTTTTTTCTTTTTTTTTTCCCTGCCCTGATGCTGATGGAGTCCTGTTTAGAAAGTGGAGCCAAGCATACTGTATAGGAGTATTTACTACCAAAATTGGTGCCAATGGGGAGGTTATATCTAACTCGCTTTTTTTGGCAAACTGTTCCTGTCTTTTCAGAATATTACTTTGTAGTTCAGGCTTGCTTGAACAATGTGAATTTGGAAAAGTTGTCCTTTCTTCACAGTCACAAATTGACTTCAAAGCCCCCCTTTTTTTATTTTTTTGGTGATAGCAGCTTTGACATTATGTACAGTGGAAACATACGCATATACTCAGGTCTAGCTTGTATATGTGTTTTTTGTCTGTCTAGAGAATAGTCATTTGTAATACTGAGTTTTGAGATACAATTGATTTACTCTTTTCTATCTTCTCAGTCAGAGGGTTAAGATGAACAGGATGCTTGCAGTGCCACAGTTGAGCTGCTGGCAAAAATCTTGTTGAACATGGTGGCCATCTGTGGCAGAATATATCTGACGCAACCTGTCGAGCACTACTCAACTACAGCAGTTATTTTTCCTTTTAATAGGCAGTCTATCATAATTTGAAGCCTGCTTCATTGCAACAACAGCTGCAAAGCATTCACCTGGATCAAGACAAAGCTGAAGCATTTGCCAGTGCATGGGCGGCTGCAGGTCAAGATACGATTGAGAAGTTCAGGCAGAGGGTTTTGACCCCTCAGAAGGTAATGTTTTTTTCTGAGAGAGAATAAAGATGTGTAGGTTTGTTTTAAAGTAAGGAGGTTAAACTTAAGATACAAAGTTTGTGACAAGCGAAGGTACTGGAAAATAAAGAGGGTACTTATTAGGTAGTAGATAAATGTCATCAGGGCAGTGGAATTCCATTGTCTTAAAGAGATGTTACATGTTAGCTGAGCTGCTGTAACTGTTGGAACCTGATATATGTGCACTGTTAGCAATGTAAAGTAGTGCAACCTACATACCATTTGGAGATGTTTGTGAACATGCTTTACAATAGGGCAAAGGTAAAGTGTGCTCATGAACACTTGTAGTGGTTTAGCTCATCAGCCGGTAGATTCTCTGTACTTAAAGTGTATCTGAGCTCGTGCCATCTTTAATTTTGTAAACTGGTTGGATAGTGCATATTGTGAGATACTATGATTTTGAGATACTTTTCTATGATGGTGTAATAATCCTGCTTCGTATGTGCCTGTTACCAGTTAAAACTTTGGTACATGCTGTGGAAGTCTCATTGTGTCTTTAGGCATAAATGTCTACATCTATGAGAAGGTATAATAACGTCCTTCTGTTGATTCATAATAAGCCTTCAACTGCATTAGATGATGTATACAGAACACATCAGTGTCAGCCAGGATTGAATGGTTCAAAAGAATTGTGGAATACTGACTCAATTATTCTAGCTTTATTTTTATCATTGCTATATATCTTGTTGGGATAAGATTCAGTTTGTTACTTTATGATTTGGTTAGTAAAATTTACATAGAAAATACATAAGGTAAACACGACACACTGACAGAAACAGAACACCACAATTTATACCAGCAGGCTTACACCTAAATAAGCCTAGAATTTTATTTAGGTGTAAAATGCACATTTTGAGAAGACAATATATGTCTGTGGAGCAGACTGAAGATATTCAGAACTGCATCACAGATGATTTTTTGAAAGTATTTAAACTTGATCCTTTGTAAAACTGGGTAATTTTAGACACAAAACTTGTAGGCTTTTCATGTGCAAAATTATAGTAACTCACAAACAACAAGTAAATGACTGATAATGTAAGTATGCAAAAAAAAAAAAAAGAATTGAACAAGACATTTTGGGCTTCTGTCTTTTTGAGAGAATATTACCAATGCCAAGCATACAAGTCCTGAAGTTTAAATGGTCAGTGATACAGTGAGTATATAGGCAAGTATGACTGTCCAATCAAGGAGGTGAGTAATCTGACAATCAAGTGAAATCATGGAAGGTTATAAGGCTAACTTTTCAGAATATAGCATATGTGTGCAGAATGAAAGGCCGTTCTGAAGATACTGTACAAAGCAGCTGTCTGAGAATTTTCTTTAGACAGGCTATGCACTAGTATTTTAGTGCTGGGTCTTCAGCATATGAGAAACTAACAAACACCTTTGAACCCCTTTTATTTGGAGCTTGTAACATACACACCTGTGGTCTGTCTGTGACCTAGTTTGGGGGTGACATTGCTTTGTTCCTTGTCTGCAGTTTTGTGAGCCCTGCAACATGCAGTGCTTCTCGTATATATTACAGTTTTGGAGATTCTTTGTGACTTCACCATTATCTCATATAATGGAATGGCATTTTGCTAGTATATTGCATTCCACATAAAGCAGTTTCCCTTGCCATTCTGTGATTTGTAATTAAGCTTGCAGAAAAGCAACTGCCAAAATATCATAGTACAACTTACTTGTTTTATAACATGAATGCAGGTTTAAATATAGGTGTGTGCCTTTACATATGCTTAAAGCATCATTTCACCCCCTTTTTTCTTTTCTTTTCATAGCCTAGATGACACGTTGAGTATTAGTTAGCGTGTGAGTGTAGACTCTAAGGTGCAATTTGAGTTTGAAGTTGAATTTACTTTCTCAGTTTTGGAAGTTTTCTCAGTTAAGATGTTTTGAAAACTTCTTAATCCTGTAGACTTTAGTTGAGTGAGAATCTCGAATCCTTAACTTGAAGCCTCAATTCACAAAACTAATTGCTAAATAAAGTATTTCTTCTGCTAACAAGGTACACAGAGGTAATATATTTTAAAAATTGCATGGGATAATGGAAGAAGAACTTGACTTCTCCTTATAATCTTACGAATCTCCTTGTAATGTCTTATGAGTGCAGTAGATGACTGTGTGATCCCTTCATTATTTCCTTCTGTGTTCTGTAAGTAATTGTGTATCAGCACACATTCACTGTATTATCTTTCTGTACCTTGAGAAACAGTGGGCAAAACATTCTTACCTGTGATACAGTGTTATATTAGTCAACTTGCTGTAAACTTTAATCAGTGTCTCAAATTAAAGTTAAAAAAAGCTTAGAAGCCTGAAAATTCTTACAGTTAGGCCAGAGTGATAGCTTTTTAGATTAGATTTACAAGTTTAGATTGATTTAAAGATTATATTAACTTCTTTCTTTGTAAAAAGAGATGTATATCCAATTACTAATACTCTCCACAACATGTATGTACAGGTGTAAGATTTAAAACAATTGATCCTATAAGTGTGCTCTCTGTATAGGTACTTCTTTACATGGCCATGTAGAACTTAATGATTTGCACTGTTCACTTCTCTCACAGAAATAATATCGGGTGCATAAAAAGAATGACTCTTCTGTCATCATAATTGTCAGCAACATAATCCCAGAATCACAGAATAGTTGAGGTTGGAAGGGACCTCTGGAAGTCATCTGTTCCAGCCTCCCGCACCTGGAGTCAGTTGCCCGGGTCCATGTCCAGACAGCATTTAAACATTTCAAAGGATGGAAACTCCACCACCTTCATGGGCCACCTGGTGCCAGTGCTCGGTCACCCTCGAAGAGCAAAAGTGTTTTCTTGTGGTCAGGCAGTCTCCTGTGTTTCAGTTTGTGCCCATTGCCTCTTGTCCTGGCAAGACTGGGCACCACTGAAAAGAGCCTGGCTCTGTCCTCCTTGCGCCCTCCCTTCAGGTATTTGTACACATTGATGAGAGTCCCCTGAGCCCTCTCTTCTCCATGCTGAACAGCCCCAGCTCTCAGCCTTTCCTCATATGTGTGCTGCTGCAGTCCCTTCATCTTAATGTCCCTTTGCTGGACTCTCTCCAGTATGTCCATGTCTCTTTTATACTGGAGAGCTCAGAACTGCTAACAGTTCTCCAGACGTTGACTCACTACTACTGAGTAGAAGGGAACGATCACCTCCCTCAGCCTGCTGACAATACCCCTCCTAATGCAGCCCTAGATACCATTAGCTTTCTTTGCTGTAAGGGCATATTGTTGGCTCGTGCTCAACTCTGTGTCCAGCAGGACTCTCAGGTCCTTCTTCACAAAGTTGCTTTCTGTCTGGGTGGCCCCCAGCATGTACTGGTCCCTGGGGCTGTTCCTCCCCAGGTGCAGGAGTCTGCACTTCCACTTGTGCCCCCTTCATGAGGTTCCTGTCAGTTCACTTCTTCAGCCTGTCCAGGTCCCTCTGGTTGGCAGCATGACCCTCTGGTGTATCTGCCACTCCTCCCAGTTCTGTGTCTTCTGCAAACCTTTTCTATTACGAGAAATACTAAAGAAGAGTGTGATCTTTCTTGGTTTTATTTTAAGCTACATTGTCTGTGATTTCTCACTCTTATTCCATGGAAGTTTCCTGTTTGTCATCCTTCATGTTATCTGTCCTGACATATTTCTACTATATTTTGGAAGAAACTAATGTGATTAGAGTATAATATAGGCTTGCCTGGAATATTAATACTTTATGTGGTGGCTTTATAGTAAAGGTCTCCCTCAGGGATCCGGACTGGGACCAATACTATTTAATATCTTCATCAATGACATAGTGGGATTAAGTGCACCCTCAGCAAGCTTATGGGTGACACCAAGCTGAGTGGTGCAGTTGATTTGCTGGAGGGAAGGGATGCCATCCAGAGGGACCTGGATAGCCTTGGGAAGTGGGCCCATGTGAACCTCATGAAGTTCAACAAGGCCAAGTGCAAGGTCCTCTCCTGGGCTGGGGCAATCCCTGGTATAAATACAGGCTGGGGCAGAAGTGGATTGAGAGCAGCCCTGCTGAGAAGGACTTGGGGGTACTGGTGGATGAAAAATGGGATGCAAGCCTGCAATGTGCACTTGCAGCCCAGAAAGCCAACCGTATCCTGGGCTGCATCAAAAGCAGCGTGACCAGCAGATTGAGGGAGGTGATTTTGGCCCTCTGCTCTGCTCTGGTGAGACCCCACCTGGAGTACTGTGTCCAGCTCTGGGGTCCTCAGCACAGGAAAGACATGGACCACATCCAGAGGAGGGCCACAAAAATGATCTGAGGCTGGAGCACCTCTCCTACGAGGGCAGGCTGAGAGAGTTGGGGTTGTTCAGCCTGGAGAAGAGAAAGCTCCAGGGAGACCTTGCTGAAGCTGTTCAATACTTAAAGGAGGCTCATAAGAAAGATCGAGAGAGACTTTTTACCAGAACTTGTAGTGGCAAGACAAGGAGCAGTTATTTTAAACTGACAGAGCGTAGTTTTAGATGGGATATATGGAGGAAATTTTTTAAGATGAGGGTGGGGAGACACTGGAACAAATTTGCCCAGAGAAGTTGTGGATGCCCCTTCATTGGAAGTGCTGAAGGTCAGGTTGGATGGGGCTTTGAGTAATGCAATCTAGTGACGGATGTCCCTGCCCCTGGCATGAGGGTTGGAGTAGGTGATCTTCAAAGGTCCCTTCCAACCCAAACCATTATATGATTCTATGGGTACGATTTTTTTTTTTTCTTTCATGCTCTTTTAAAAATATATATGGGCTTTTTGGTTGTCACTGCTTATGTGATAGGGGCTTTTACTGACCTGTTCAGGTGGTGTGCAGGACTACATGTTGACTTAGAATTCAGAGTGTGTGTGACTATTTCATACTTTTGTTTGCTCTGTGCTTTTCTGTACACTTACCAACTCTGAATTTTCTTTATAATGGCTCCAGTGGGTATATGCATGGGATTGCTCATCTGGATCTGAGTGCAAAAACAG